CTGTTTTACACCCCAATCGTCACAATTTAGATCAATTAGGGGAGGGGGGCTGCTCCAGCCCTGCCTGTCAAGCCCAAATAACGCTGAGAGGGACACAGCGTCCCAGCAGATACCGTACAATTTTTCATGGAATAGCCCTAGAAAAAAGAATACACGTAACAAGAGACCGCCCTTGGTCATATGATTAGTGCCCTAAGGCCTACTAAAAATATTTTTTTAAAGCAGAAGAATGAATTACGAGAACTTTAGAAGGCCCATACCTGTACATGTACTTGTCAATGTTACTTTTTAAATAACCAGCGCTCACTTTGAGACATTTCAGAGACCAAGATTTTCGTGCAGTCCACCTAACTTTACATGTAGCTCCAAGCAGGGTATTGGACACATAATATGTAATACCTGTCACTACTTGGGTGATCCCCACCGTCCACCAAAATTACCAAATCGCCCACTAGTGGGCACTAATATCGCACAGGCGGGCAAGCATCTGTCTAATATTCTGAGTGTTTTCTTACCTGTGAAAGTGTCAAAATCTGTGGGCGTGTACTCGGTGAGGAAATCTCCCTGCACGAACCTGAGCAGCATGCTGGTCTTGCCGACGCCGCCGTCCCCCACCACCACACACTTGTAGTGGTGCTGGTGGCGCAGGTACAACTGCTGCTGTTGCAGCCTCTTCTTCATCGACAACGAGTCGTTCATCGTTGCTGTGTGTTCTACGGTACTCGCTTCTGTTCCTCGACACACAAAGAGAAGATAATGAAACGCGATATCCGTTCCCACAACACACAGAGAAAATATAAATTACTGAAACAATGTATCCGTTCCCACAACGCAGAAGCTAACGAAACGTGTTTGCAATGTCACAACTCAGAAAACAATGAGTTAATGATATTATCTGCTGTACAACAGCACACTGCATCCTACCGGACAGACGTTATCTGGGTTTTCCCCGTTTACAATTTTCATGACACAAGCTTGTCTCTCACACACAGACAACATCATGACACTGTCTTGTAAGTGTCCGTGTTCATTCGAAGTAACGTCCTTAAACACACTTCCGGTTTTCTTGACGTGCTCCTTCCGGAAAGATGGCCACCTGTTTCCTTCCGGTATTTCGGGACCGTGAATCTACTGTGAAAATCACGGGAGTGGGCTGAACTCGAGCGATAAAGAACGATGGGCTTGAAGTTTTTTTTTCGTGAGTTCAGAACTTTGGGAATCTCCCAGAAGCAGCTCTTTGGGTATTGTTTCAAACAACGCGACGCTTCGATCTCCCTCACGATTGATGCCGAAACTCCCGTAGTTTGTGTAGCAGGATGTTGGCAGCAAGATGCGTGCTGGTTTGGGTTGGTTGCTGTCTCAGCTCATCCACGAGAAAAGATTGCACTCTCTCTCTCTTCTCTTATTGTCAAGGCCTGTGAAAATAACAAAGAGAGCTAGCTGTTACTACAATGCAGGGTGTTTGTCAAATGTAAGTATTTTACGCCCCTAGTGACACCATTTAGATCAGGTAAGGATAGTTCGTCTCATTAGAAAGACGGAAGTATTCAATAAAAATTTTACCCACACGGGAATCGAACTCGGGTCTTCATCGTGCGACAGCCAAAAAGATAACCACTACACAACAGACGTCAATAGAATGGCGCGCGGGAGGG